AAGGTAGAGTAGGCTATGTTAGCAGCATGGCTAACCGAAACAACAGAAACCCACAAGCAGGAAATGTGAATGAAACCACTCATGTCGACTCATCACAACATGGCTATATTGTACATGCCTACAACACTCCCCCTTGCAACTTCTCCCCCCTGGACCAACGCAACCCCATGTGTTATACTGGCTTGGTACTGATATCACAAGACAGCTTTTGCCTCGATGAGAAATATTGTCATGGTTTAATATCATGAGATCTTGCCCCACCCCTAACAGTGATTTATCATATTAGCAGACTTGCACTAGTCCAGTTTAACAGTGGTTTCACTGATGAGGATTGAACATAAACGTGGTATAATCCAACTCACACTAAGAACAAAATCAGACAATGTTGACATGTTCAAGCTTGTATTTACAGAATACTGATCAAGTTAGGTTATCTTTGATTAATTACAAATGCATGTATATGTAATGCCATTCATCTGTACTAGTATTTGCAGGCTGTAGTGTCTTTGGAGTTGCAGCTTGGTTGACATACTGCATATGCAGTATACAGTTGCTTGAAGTGTTTGTTCGTAAGTCCTGGTTGATTTTCTCCTCATGGTTATACAGAGCTGACTTCTTTTTTTTAATATAATATAAATTTGATATAAATGTCCAATTGGACTTAAGGATGAACTAATTAGATTTTGGTGGTCAAAGGTCAAGATTATTGACCTCACTGTACCCTTATCTGTGAATTTGACTGGTTGACAGAGGCATACAACCACAAAGCAGTAATTCTAGTTCCTCCTGCTTTCCTATACTTGCTCTCATTGTGCCATATTCACTAACATTTTCCTAAGTGTTTTCTTAAGTTTTGTTAAAGTTTGTTCTTAAGAAAGGCCCTAGGAAACGTCTACATCTGATTCATGAACGTGTTCTTAAACTGCAGAATTGTTCGCACCTGTGCTCTTATACTGATGAATCCCCTGTGTTCGTAATTTGAAAGTGCGTGCCAGTCATTCCTAAAGATGGTGGAGCTGCCATATTGAGTAGCATCAGTAGTGGATATAAAATAAAATAAAAAAAGACACATGGGATGCTCTTACTCATTCATGAAGTATAAGGAGCAAACTGATGAATTAAAAAGATGGTTTGATCTCAGCTTTGAGGCAACAAAACAAACATGGAAGAGAGCTGCTGACCAGTGGAGGAGGACAGGCTGGCTCAGAGCTACGAGCTGGACTAGTCACTGGGGCCATACCCAGCACTTTTCGGTGTGCCGTCAGCTGAACAGACCTCCATGTGTGCACCCAGGTCCTCTTAACTGCCCTGAGTCTGTTCTCATACAGTATGTGATGCTGGACAACTAAAGGCTTGCACAGCCTCAACACTCTCTTGAGGTATTCCATAGTGGATTTCGAGGTATGTTTAGGATCATTGTCCTGTTGTAGAAGCCATCCTCTTTTCAGCTTCAGCTTTTTTACAGATGGTGTGATGTTTGCTTCCAGAATTTGCTGGTATTTAGTGGAATCCATTCTTCCCTCCACCCGTGCAATGTTTCCTGTGCCACTGGCTGCAACACAACCCCAGAGCATGATAGATCCACCCCCATGCTTAATAGTTGGCAAGGTGTTCTTTTCATGAAATGCTGCTCCTTTTTTTCTCCAAACATGCCTTTGCTGATTGTGTCCAAAGAGTTCTATTTTAACTTCATCAGTCCACAGCACTTGTTTCCAAAACGCATCGGGCTTCTGTAGATGTCCTGTTGCATACTTCAGACGTTGGATTTTATGATGGGGACGCAGATAAGGTTTTCTTCTGCTGACTCTTCCATGAAGGCCTTGTCTGTGCAAGCATCGCTGCACAGTGGAACGGTGCACCACCACTCCTGAGTCTGCTAAATCTTCCTGCAGGTTTTTTGCAGTCAAATGGGGGTTTTGATTTGTCTTTCTGACCAGCATACGAGCAGTTCTGTCCGAGAGTTTTCTTGGTCTTCCAGATCTCATCTTGACCTCCACAGTTCCCCTGATCTGCCATCTCTTAATTACATTTCTTACTGTGGAAACTGCAAGCTGACAACGCTTTGCTATCTTCTTGTAGCCTTCTCCTGCATTGTGGGCATCAATAACTTTCATTTTCAGGGTCTTACACAGCTGCTTAGAGGAACCCATGGTTGCTGGGTGTCCACAAGTGTGTGCACAAGGTTTGAAGAGTCAAGGTATTTGTACAGCTTTGAAATTGGCATTTACCAATGACAGCTGTTGCTGTGCATCAGATCTAACGAGCTGATTAAGGTCTGAAACCTTGTGAGAGACTTTGAGACTCTGGAACTCTTAGGGTGCCCAAACTTTTGCACCATGCCATAATAATGTTTTTATTTTTTATTTTTGTTCAATTTATGGCATAAGAAGTAACTATGCATCACTGTTTGCAGAAAATATTGTGCATTTTTTCCATTTCCAAGAGAAACTGTGTTAACATCTGTTCAAATAAAAAAATCACCAAAATCTGTTATTTATCAAGGGGTGCCTAAACTTTTGCATAAGACTGTATCTGAGAGACACTTATAGAAATGAACAGAAATTAGAAATAAAGATATGCACTTAAACATGTTTGGCTTTTAAGTACCATGCCTAAACTTTTGCATAAGACTGTATCTGAGAGACACTTATAGAAATGAACAGAAATTAGAAATAAAGATATGCACTTAAACATGTTTGGCTTTTAAGTACCACTTTTCCTAATTCTAAGCTACAAATAATCATACCGTGAAAGTTAAATAAATTTTAAAATAGGCAATTAATTGCTTGCGGTACTTTTTACTGTAGTGTTTATTTATTTTAAAAGATCATAATGCTTTATATTTAAGGGAAAATATAGAAATATTAATGACAAAATGGTTATTATAATGTAAATTTTATCATATTTATTCATATTTTATAACTGTAGAACTGAAGAAAACTACGTCAGCAGTCAAATGTGTGTCAGTGTGCTCCTGAGTCTGTGTAGATTCTGTTGTTACACAAGAACAAATCCCAGATAAGAAAAAATTGGTGAATGCCAGAATCTTTGTAGAAGGTTCATAGATGAGTTTTACAAACACATTTGTTCTTAAGAACGGTTGGTGACTGAGACCCATTGTTCTCTTCTTCTTGCTCTTCCCATGTGTGATTTTCTCCCTTTGAGTTTTTTCATATTGCATTTTCGTACATTCTTCCTCGTTATTGTTTTTGTTGTGCATGTCACATCTTTAACTAAATAAAGTGCATTTCCGCTTTAGTTCTTGAGCTGTGTCCCCGTTTCATACTACATAGAAAGTTGTTCATAATGAAACAACTCTAGAAATAGAGTTTTGGAAAACAAAATTAAAACAAAGTATTACATCTTTTCAAATTCATTGTGGCTTTAGTCAGCAATGACAGTCCACTGTTACGGTTTGATCATGTCTTTGAGTGCACATATTGCATAATTTTCTTAGTAGTAAAGTAGTACAGAATTTCCAAACTACGTCTGAGATCATTTAGAAATAGTGTCACTGTTCCATTGTTTATCACTGAGCCCGGACAAATTGCACTTTTAACTCTAAAATGCTTATGCGTAGTATGTGTCCTTGTCACAATAAACCAAAAAAAATCATATGTATCATGGTTGCTTTGTTGTCTATAAAAAATTAATGTTGGCTTAATATAATATCATCAGACTTTGTAACACTCCAAAATAATGATATTGTTTGGTTTGGGCTATAGTGAAAATAATGTGACAAATCGATAATGAAAAATAACAGAGATGCAGCCCTACTTACTGTATTGGACTGTAGATGTGTAGTACAGAACTGGGAAACCGCTTTGGACCCTCCTCCCTTTTTCAGCCTGCCTCTGTCCTCTCATCACTGTCAGTCATGTTTTTAAGTTTGTAAACTGAGATAGTGAGAGACAAGCTTAAGAACACAGCTGTACTTAATAATCTGGAGAGACAGCGTTCCTTCACTCCTGTCTGTTCCCAAGACAACCTGAAAATCTTACTCCTATAAATTGAGCAACTTTGTGTATGTGTGTGGGTTACATGACTTTGAATGATGCTTTTGCAAGCATGCAGTTCCTCAAATGCTGAGGCTGATACTCTCTTGTGAAAAAGGGGAAAGTTGAGATGAGTTGAGTTTCATAACTAGGCTGAAGTTTTAACTAACAGAAAGGTGGCAGAAACTAGAGTTTAGATTTTTGGGATGTTCAGTGTGTAACTGCTCTTTTGTGTTGTGGTTCAGATGTGGTGTAAGTGGCCTAGCTGGATGAACTAGCTTGGTCTCTCTGGGGTAAAGATGGGCTGCTGGGCCACTATTAACCCCTTGATTTCTCCCAGTCTCATAGCAGTGTGTACACATTTTCTATGCTGGAATATCAGTAATTTAATAATACACAACAATTTATAAATATTAATCTTGTAAGCACAGAACTAAAATAATGAATCTTTTAGAAGCTGATTTTAGTGCATGGATCCTCGGGTGGAAGCAAAACAGTCATTTTTGGCATATGTTTATTGACTTACACTGCAGCTATTTCAAAAAGCAAAGTCAAACACCTGAGGGTTCCAGTTTCTTAAAAAAAAGTTGCTATATACACAAACTCTGAATGGAAATTGCGAGGGTCACTTTTTCCTGATGTTTTAAATGACAAATCAAGAAAGTAACCTGTGGGTTAATCAATAAAGAATATTATTGCAGCCCTGGTTTTGATTAGATAATAAAGAAGGATGCATCTTACAGGCCAGTTGACACACCGTAATCGTGTTACTATGATCTTTGGAGTCGTAAACCTCCTCTGCTAAGTTGGCCTACAGACCACTGTGTGAATGCTCTTTGAACTGGAGAAAAACACATATGGTGATGCAAGTTATTTACAGATAGACATTATTTAATAATGTTATTCATTTTTTTATTTTACAGATGTTAAAAAACCAGGAGTAGTGCTGAAGATGTGATGCTGTTTGTTTATTCATTTTCCTATATGTGAATATGTTTATTTCAGGGAAGGCAATGAGCCTGGCGATCAGTTGACGGTGACCTACAGGGAGCTGCTGCAGAGGGTCTGTCAGTTTGCCAATGTCCTGAAGTCTCAGGGTAGGTTAAAACCACCTAGGTTCCATCTGAAACAGTGGATGCACTGATTGTCTGATGTCTCGATTAGAATCGTTTCATTTTCTCTCTTATTGTTCAATAATATACTGACTGTGCATCTCTACATCTTATATTGACGAAAAGAAGAGCACCAGTACTCTGTATTGGCAGATACCATGAGTTAAATCACTGTTTCATTAACTGTACCTGTACTTTGTTAATTCTAGTTTATGTTCTCCTGGTCTATATAAGGAAGAGTGGCTTCTCCTGCTGTAGTGGTTTATACTTTATTACCAATATTAATTGAAGTCCAGCTGTTGAACTGTTTTTGTCTGCTGTTCCACCAGGAGTGAAGAAAGGTGATCATGTGTCCATTTACATGCCCATGGTGGTTGAACTAGTGGTAGCCATGTTGGCCTGTGCCCGCATTGGAGCTGTTCACTCTATAGTGGTGAGTTGGATATGCATGGCATATTAAAGACAGTGCGTAGTTTGAGATGAAACCTGTATGGATAAAAATTGATGTCAGTACTGTATGCACTGTTGTCTCCAGTTTGCAGGTTTCTCTGCTGAATCCCTGTGTGAGAGGATCCTTGACTCCCAGTGTTCACTGCTCATCACAGCAGGTTGGTTTCATATTAAGAAAACATGTCTGTCTGCTCTGCAGGTTTTCATACTGAGATGACCTTGTAGGGTCCAGTGAATGATAAAAAAAAAAAAAAAATCATCAGTCTTCACTTAAATGTGGTGCTCAATACAAGAGGGTGGTTGTATGAACTGGGAGTCTGCAATTGCACAGGTTCAATGGGGTTAAAGGCTACCTGATGCAAAAGCTGTCGAAACCTAACGAGCTGCACCCTGCACTTTTTACCATCACCCGGCATAACGGGTTGAAGCAGACCGTCCTACTTTGTTTTTCTACTGTATTTTTCCCTGTGTCAGTCTCTGTTTAGAGCTGAGCAGAGGATGTGATGGATAACTTCACAGCGCAACAGCCAGCCAGTAACAGAGAGTGTATGAGCAGTTTATGAAACAGCTGTTGGACAAGCAGAACACAAATTTGCAGAACTGTGATGTCTTCACTGCTTTGCCTGTGGTCCACTCACTGAAGTCCCCATTTTTCCCCTAAATCAATGAGTTAAGTTCTCAATCATTTTACCTCTAAGCCAGCTGGTGTGTGTGTTTCCACACTGTGTTTGTAAAGCTGTGTGTAGAGATGCTGACATTTAACTAATCATGAACAGCAGCTCTGCACCCACTGCCTCTGGGGGCAGTAGAAACAAACACAGAACGGAGCAAACAGTGTGATTATTTGTAGTTTAGAATTAGGAATTGGATTATTTAAAAAAACACATTTAAGTGCATATCTTTATTTCTAATCTCTCTTAATTTCTTTAAGTGTCTCTCAGATATTGTGGTCAGTGTTGAGGCTGTTTGTGGAAGCATTTGGTTGTCCAGCAACATATCTGAGATCAGGCCCAGGGCAGTTAAGGGACCTGGGTGAACACAAGGAGACCTGATCAGCTGACGACACACCCTGAGGCACACCCTGTTTTGGTCTCATGCCCTCTTATGGGCACTGGCAGGGCATTAACCTATGCTGATTAGGAATGACCAACACATACTTTCATCTTACAAACACATGGAGTTCATCAGTATAAGAACACAGGTGTGAAAAACTTTGCAGTTTAAGAACGTGTTTATGAATCAGATGTAGACTTTTCTTAAGATCTTTCTTAAGAACAACCTATGAAAAAATTTAAGAAAACACTTAGGAAGATGTTGGTGAATGTGGCCCATTGATTTTAGACCCATGGCTTTAATTTCTGTTGTTATGAAGTTTATGGAGAGACTAATGGTGAGCAAACTTCAGGTGGATGTAGGCTCACTGTTAGATTTATACTATTAGATTTATATACAGGTGCTGGTCATATAATTAGAATATCATCAAAAAGTTGATTTATTTCATTAATTCCATTCAAAAAGTGAAACTTGTATATTATATCCATTCATTACACACAGACTGATATATTTCAAATGTTTATTTCTTTTAATTTTAAAGGCCTTTAAATGGTCTCTCTGTCTAGTTCTGTAGGCTACACAATCATGGGGAAGACTGCTGACCTGACAGTTGTCCAAAAGACAACCATTGACACCTTGCACAAGGAGGGCAAGACACAAAAGGTCATTGCAGAAGAGGCTAGCTGTTCCCAGAGCCCTGCGTGCAAGCACATTAATAGAGAGGCGAAGGGAAGGAAAAGATGTGGTAGAAAAAAGTGTACAAGCAAAAGGGATAACCGCACCCTGGAGAGGATTGTGAAACAAAACTGATTCAAAAATGTGGGGGAGATTCACAAAGAGTGGACTGCAGCTGGAGTCAGTGCTTCAAGAACCACTACGCACAGACATGTGAAAGACATGGGTTTCAGCTGTCGCATTCCTTGTGTCAAGCCACTCTTGAACAACAGACAGCGTCAGAAGCGTCTCACCTGGGCTAAAGACAAAAAGGACTGGACTGCTGCTGAGTGGTCCAAAGTCATGTTCTCTGATGAAAGTAAATTTTGCATTACCTTTGGAAATCAGGGTCCCAGAGTCTGGAGGAAGAGAGGAGAGGCACAGAATCCACGTTGCTTGAGGTCCAGTGTAAAGTTTCCACAGTCAGTGATGGTTTGGGGTGCCATGTCATCTGCCGCTGTTGGTCCACTGTGTTTTCTGAGGTCCAAGGTCAATGCAGCTGTATACCAGGAAGTTTTAGAGCACTTCATGCTTCCTGCTGCTGACCAACTTTATGGAGATGCAGATTTCATTTTCCAACAGGACTTGGCACCTGCACACAGTGCCAAAGCTACCAGTACCTGGTTTAAGGACCATGGTATCCCTGTTCTTAATTGGCCAGCAAACTCGCCTGACCTTAACCCCATAGAAAATCTATGGGGTATTGTGAAGAGGAAGATGCGATATGCCAGACCCAACAATGCAGAAGAGCTGAAGGCCACTATCAGAGCAACCTGGGCTCTCGTAACACCTGAGCAGTGCCACAGACTGATCGACTCCATGCCACGCCGCATTGCTGCAGTAATTCAGGCAAAAGGAGCCCCAACTAAGTATTGAGTGCTGTACATGCTCATACTTTTCATGTTCATACTTTTCAGTTGGCCAAGATTTCTAAAAATCCTTTCTTTGTATTGGTATTCAGTAATATTCTAATTTTCTGAGATACCGAATTTGGGGTTTTCATTAGTTGTCAGTTATAATCATCACAATTAAAAGAAATAAACATTTGAAATATATCAGTCTGTGTGTAATGAATGAATATGATATACAAGTTTCACTTTTTGAATGGAATTAGTGAAATAAATCAACTTTTTGATGATATTCTAATTATATGACCAGCACCTGTATACACACCAGAGAGGCACGGATAATGCAGTCACCAGTATAGTCATCTAGGGCATATGCCAGACTGTTATTTGTGGATTGAGCATTTAACAACTTCCAGCCTCATTTTCTCCTAAAAGCCCTGCAGCAGATGGATGTCAACCCTGTCATTCCTTACCAACCATATTCAGGTCGGTGATTTTTGTATTTGCCATCAGTCTTACTGCGGCAGGGAAAAAGCTGTTAAGTCTTGTTCTATGTGTGATGATACTGTCTGCCCTACTGTGCCTGAGACTGTAGGTGCAGCTTTTGTGTCTGAGCAGGGTGTGAGCTCATTATGTTCTCTGCCCTTTTACGACAGCACTGCGTGTACAGTGTGTCCATACCAGGCAATTCAGTCTCAGTGATCCTCTCTGCAATCTTTGACCATTTGAAGAGCCTTCCTCTCTGCCTGTGTGGTGTTACCATACCAGACTGTGATGCCAGTAGTGAGGATGCTCTCTACCAGCCCTCTATAAGCCTGGGTGAGAGGACGAAGGTTCAGTCCAGCTTTCCTGAGCTGCCTGATGAAGTATAGCTGCTGCTGGGCTTTCTTCACTGTATATATTTTCTGTATATTGATAATAAACTGACACAGACTGTCCAGGTAGAAAGGGTTTGCATTAGAGGCTACATTATCTCTGCACACTGAGGGTCTTCAGTGCCAGCCAGAAGGTGCTGCTCCTCTTTTATCATGCTGTGGTTGAGAGTGTTTTGCTGTATGGCATTTCAGCCTTGTGTAAATCTTAGTGAGCAGCAAAAAAACTCAAATCACACGGCTACCATAGAGAACCATGAAAATTATGGGTGTTAAGCAGCATCCCACACTCCAGGCTGTATATGAGGAAGTGATTCTCAGGCAGGGCCAGAAGATGAATTCAGATACCACATATGTTCTTTATCCTGAGTACCAGCTTCTGCCTTTAGGCTGATGTTTTAGAGTTTAAAAAAGTCTTAACATTTCTTTTGTTCCTCTGTCTATCAATGCCTTAAATGGCAAGTTAGCTAAGACCTGATTATCTCCTGTAACATTTGTTTATAATTAGATTACCGTAAATGTTATTTGTATATGTTTTTCCAGCAGTTTTAAACAAGACAAATTTCCTTCCGGATAGTAAATTTGATTTAATCTAATCTAATTCTGTACAAAAATCATTCTGCACAGTGAAGGTAAAACATACATAACAAGGAACAGTTAGCAAAAACGTTTGGTGGGGAGAGGGACTTTAAGATGTGAGTTACACTACATAATATTGAGCTGTATCTCATATACCAACTAAACCAAAATGTACTTTTCTCATGTCTGCATGTGGATAAGTGGTTAGCTGAACTTTTACCTGTTAAATAGTGAGACTCACAAACGTCCAGTCATTTGGAGAAATGGGTTGGGATTGACCTCTCCTTTGGAGAGAACTGATTATGATCAGTAACAGAAAAAGAGGGATGCAATATGGCTGAATGTGAGTGCAAGGACAGAGATCACGGGTGAAATAATAGGTCTATGGAAAATGTAACTAACTAAATAAAGTACCTTATCTAGTTATCTGTCTGTCTTTCTTTTTTATTCATTCTTTCTTTCTGTCTGTCTCTTTTTATGTATGTATGCAGTTAAACCAGTGATTCCCAAGCTGTGGCAGGCATAAGCCCTGTGGGGCGCCCACAG